GATTTTAAATTGGAAGAATTGGAAAAGGAGGCACCACAAACGTCACAAAAATAACTTCTTTCTGTGGAAGCTGTCCGTGGTTTCGGCCGAGATGCTGGAGGTTTTGGGCGAGGTGGTGCGGCCACAACCTCTTGCGGGTGAGGATGATGATGGTGCTGCTGCATGTTTATTTGAGGAGCTTGCATAGCTGGAGCAACAAGCAAATTGTTAAAAGCATTGTAGTCATACCATCCTGTGTGGGCTCCAGCCTGGCCCACCTGTACAAGGTGGTCCATGTACACAGTGTTCATGTTGACGGAGTTTGGTGGAAGAGTCATTTTGTTCTGCTTCACAACCCTTTCTCACCTCACTGATCTGGAAAATAAATCATAGCATTAAATCATGATAAAGTAATCCTAAGAAAATAAACAATGCACAAAAATTGATCTTTAGAATTGTGCCATTATCAACATGAAATACTACCTTGATTTTAAAAGCATCAAGGTAGGATTTACTCTTTTTTTTTAATAAACAATAGACACAATATCTTTTAATTTCAGATTTCTTAAATGTAAAGATTTCTGATTTTGCTCTTTTTATGCTTTGGCATTCTAATACAATGAATATGTAAAAATCAGCATGATCTCAATATCATGTGTATCACTATCATTATTATCATTATAATTTTTTTTATCATTAATATCATTTCTATTATCAGGATCATTCATTTACAATCATTATTACTGTTATTCCTATTGTTTTTCTTGTTGTTGTTGTTATTGTTACTATAATCACCATCATCACGATGATAATAATAATTGGTATTATTATTATCATCATCATCATCACCATCTACATCTCATTATATTTGCTATCATCATTATCTTTTTAATCATTATCACAATTATCAACATTACTACATCTGTTCCCTTATCATACAAGTTCAAAATATATAGAAATCTTCTAATTTATGGAAAAATATTAATAAATTTAGGATTGCTATATCATTATTCATAATTTCTTATTCCAATCGCATGTACTACTTCCTTTCCTTGTTTAAAACTTATTAACCCCTATTTACATTATCAATAACATTATTGACATTGCTAAAAGGTTTACATTTATCATTGTAAAATATTCTCACCATCTTTATTTCTATAATTGTTATTACAAACACATTATCATCACCATCATTACTGCCAATAATGCTATTATCAGTATTACTATTTCTATAATTATCAAAATTAACAATGCAATTATTCCCTCATTTAGAAGAAAAAATATATATATATATATTGGGTTGCAAATATGTATGACCATGCCCGTTAGCAGAGCTTACAAGGTTAATCTATTACTTATAGATAAGCAATGCTATCAAATCCTAAACATCATATTAAGTGGGTTTCACTTTGAGACTTGAATGAAGCATTTACATTAATAAAGTAGCAGGTGGAGGCCCACTTTAATAACCAGTGCTAATGCATATTACTTTTGTACCAAGGAGTGTCAATTAATTAGAAATCCTAAACCGTCATTACAGTGACTGTGAATGCAAAATGCTGTATTACCAAATTTGTATGCATTTATTAGTACACTCATTACTATGTATCAAATATTAGAGTAATATAATAGGAATGTATTGATAGAAATATGTGGTTTATGCTTCTAGAGGAGGAGCAGTTGAATCTAGAAGATAATTTCAGTTCCTTAAAAAAGAAGTATAAAAACAATATGAATTGCCTAAGCAAATATAACCTTAGTGGTGATGGCCTTTAAAATAATGAATATTGGCATTTGCAAAGGGAATGTTTGATATTGGAATGGCATCATTCTTACCGTGTTTAAATGAAAATACTAATATAATTACCACAAACAAACAGACACATGCATTCACAAACCCATACACATATCTTTTTTCCACACATTAAGAACTACAACATGAAAATGAGTAGGATCTGATTTCATACTTGTAAGCTGATGGTCCAACATAAGAGAGAGCCTTGATACCCCTCATCACAGTAAAGTATCAGAGAAAGAAAAAAAAGATGGAGCATTTACGTTTCTCAATGTTAAACATGTTCTCTGGTGCACAAAAACTGTGGAAAACTGATTTCCTCTTTATTCATCTACACTGCAAATCAAGTATATATTTACAACGAGTTAGATTCTTCAGATTGTAAATCCAGAAAGAAATTACCCAAACTACACCTACTAAAATTAGATTTTTGTCTAAGTGATGTAAAATTATTCATTAGTAATTTTGCTATTTGTCCACTATAGTTTCCCCACTTTGAGTTCCAGCAAAGGCTAACAAATCTAGATACCAAAAGCTTATATTTAGCAAATTGAATAATTTGACAATGAAGTACTATGGAATCCCACAAAGTCGGTCTTGCCAGATGATCAAAGTTTAAATGGTACTGCTCTACTTTGAACTTACAGACTATGATTGTACCCTTCTAATTACATAATATCCCTACCAGTACTATCTAAAGTATTTAATCATCACCATCATTACTATTATTATCATTATCATTAACATTATTATCACTATCATTATCATTATCATTATCACTATAAATATCCTCCTCCTCATTGTCATCATCATCATTACTACATTTATACCCTTATTCTACAAGCTCCTAGTATGTATATTTCTGCTAATTTATCACTACTGTGACATTGTTTACAATAATGATATCAATTAAAAAACAAACATTTTTCACGATATTTCAAGGAATGACAAACAAGTGAGAGGTCAGGTAGGCCTAGTAATTAACACTTTGATGACTTGCAGCTTCAGGAGTCATCTACTTGTACAAGAAATCAATATAAGTCTACAGTGGACAATGCAATCCTAACATCAACCAGCTAAGAAAATCCTACAGGGAACCAAACTGAGTATAAATCTTCTATTGTGCAATGTTCTAATTTAATTACAAAAACAGAGCTACCATTTATAAAACTTTAGAAACATTGTTATTATTTCTAAATATCAAATATCCTTCTAATCCTCCACTACAATGGCAAACAAAATAAAATATATGATTTTAGACAGACACATATCCTAACGTTTGGTATGTTGTTCTGGGTTGTATGAACGACAAGGAAATACATCCAAGAACTGGAATGAGAAACTTTGCAATCTCATTTAAAATTTATAAAATATACAACACCCAGTTTCTACCCCTAAATTGTCGTATGGGAATATTTCAGACACAACAATGCAAAAATTTTAATCTCTTGTTAAATGGTTATCTCTACACTAACCTTTACGCTTATCAATACCTCTCCATACAGATATGGATAAATGCAGACTTTCAACTGTTATTCATAAACAGTTGACCTAATTAACTACATAAAGACTAAACAAAATTTTGTATATTACAATAAAACAGGAAAAGAATTCTAGAAGTCTTATTAAATGGTAGTATTTATGTGAATGAAGAATACTATGATACTATTAAGCTTCTTTCAAATACTGTCCAATAGTAAATTCCATTAAAATTTTACTCTTACGTCTCTTTGACAAAGTAAATTTCAGTTTAATGATACCATAATAAAGTAGATTTTGTACTGTTCTTTCTATGCTCGTCAATGAGACATGTTTTTAAAAACTGAATGATTAACACGGAGTATCAGGTTACATATCTATGCATCTTGAAATCTTTACAATGAATAATTGTGTGTATTTTTCAACTATCTAACCCTGAAACTTGAATGTATAATAGTATAGCATAATATAATTGTTCTATTTTCATCTCTCATTAACAATTCTTAGTAATCATTCAGAATGGTATATATAACAAAATGTCATAGCTTCTACACCTGTCCTAAAAGCACTATATTGCCAAGTTATGTCACGGACATATGTTGACAACAGCTTGAATATAAAGTGTAAATGCCAAAATATTACCTGCACACATCTGTAGACTATGATAAGCAAAGCTGGGATAATCTAAACTCTCAGATTACATTTATTACCCAAGTATGTTGCTATATGTTTTTTATGTCCACTACATTTATATCTCTTCACCTATATGCTGCGATATTCTAGAAAAAAAATTCTTTTAACAAATTTACACATGTCAATTCATGATTGATGCACTCCACAACAATAAAATCTTAAGAAAATTATGAAAACTTTGACAAGTCACTGCATGTCATTACAACTTGTTTTAAAACCAACAATGGATTTTTGTACACAAAAGGTACATCATTGAATTAAATAACAGAGGATGGGAATTAGATGTTCACAAGCAATAAATTCACTTAATAACTAAGCTGAAAAGCGGTAAGGTCCATCAAAACAACATAAGAGATGTTTGTGGTTATCACAAACAACCTTATTGAATTCGCTGCTTTCCTACATGAATGCAGTCAGAATAAGCCTATAAGACACAGGCCGATTACCGATAGAATGTAAAACCTGAAATGCATTTGATATTGTCGACTGAAATCCAGGATTTACATGGCCAGAGTTTACTTTGGAGTGTTTACCTCATCCCGACTTCCAGCCTGTTGCTCTGTGTAAAATGTACAAAGACGAGCCGTCTCCAACATACACACGGTCCACACCACAATTTAAATTAAAATCGTCAGCATATCTACTCATATCACCCATGTCCACCCTCGAAAAATAGGGAAAAGAGGAGAAAAAAGGTCGAGAAAATGGGGATAGGGACCATTGGAAATTCATGCAGAGCCGCGGCAGTGTTGTCCTCTTTGGGCCTCTCCTCTTCCCTCGCCAAACCTTCTCTCTGTCTTCCCACGACTCTAAAACTCATGTCGATTCTGCCTACTCACCTCTCACTATGTACTAGTAGCTGTCATCCCTCTAGGAGTTCCTCGGAGCTGGGTTTTGACGCTTTATCTTTGAAAAATAATTCGTGATCTTTGTTTGTGAGAAAACCGGACTGGGCGATGCGGTGTTGCCATCTCGGGCGTCACTCTCACTCTCGCCCTCTTTTTTTCATAATTTTTTTCTCTGATATCTTGCTCTCCCACTTCTCTGTCCCTCG